TGGCGACCGGAGGAAAACACTGATCTTCACTACTGAGATCAATAAGATGGTAAAAGAGACAGAGATGCAAATGTAGGACAAGAGTCAGAGTCCCTCAGTTCTCCCACTGGAGAATACCTCATTCCTTTATTATTTAAACTAACTATACTATCACTGAGCACTTAAGGTAGGTGTGTGCGTGCGTGCGTGCGTGCGTAAGCCAGACTCTGCTAGACAGGTTTGTCAGAGTGACACAACAGATCCAGATTTTCTTCTAATGAGCCTTCATTGAGCCTCAGAGTGAGATGGAAGGGGAGAGTAGTAAATGAGACAGAGGGGGCAGTGTGTGTGTGTGTGTGTGTGTGTGTGTGTGTGTGTGTGTGTGTGTGTCTGTCTCCAGATGTTATGAGAACAGCCGGCCATTAGTGGCAGTAGCAGCTATCTTGGCCGGGCTGAGATGTGATGATCCAGCACAACACTAAACACACAGACACACTCATTCAGGGGGATGAGATCCGCTCCCCAGAGGAAAAGCACTGCTGCCTTCAGCAGCTGTGAGACACACACATTAGCTGTTATGGCCACAAGCAGATACCCAGATGCAACACATAAACATATTCTGGTATATATGAATATATGTGTATGCAAATCACACCACATACATAAACACAAGATATCACATGTACAGTGAACACATTTTGATAATTGATTGATTGACCTTTCGTTAAGTCCTGCCCTTCTTACTTACTGATGCTGCGCCTGACGAGCTCTCTGCTCTCCCACGATACATATGTCAGTTTACACTAACGATTTAACACGTCAGTCTTATTCAGTTTTGACAAAAATGGATCCTTGAGTTCAGATAGGGTGAATTTAATGGCATGATACTGCACTAAAAGACTGAGGTTACAGCTTTTAATGTAATGAGAGAAAAAGACTTTTAGGACTATCGCATGTGTCTGGAAAAACTTTCTTAGATAAGAAGTGCTGAAAAAAAACAGATAATGACCAGGACTGAGCGTCTGACATTATGCTAAACGTTGATCGCATCCAGGACCAGTTTCACACACACAGTGAATGAATGGGGCTTTTTAATAATGTAATCCCGCCATCTAATGTAGCCTCGTTAGCTAATGATCAAGTTGTTCCTTGGCCTTTCAAGTGACACTTGAAATTCACTCTTCAATAAACACCGTCGAAGTGCTAGTTGCTGGTTAAGGTTTTTACTTAAAGCAAAGGCAGCAGTTTCTTTTACTACATTACTAAATTATTACAATACAGAAAAGAGAAAAGGCGCTGGAGAAGATGAACATTGAATACACTGAATATTACCCATAGCAGCTATGCCCCAGAAGTATAAAACGGCGGACATGCTAATGGCTAACTAAATGCAGCTTAAGCTCAAGCAGACAAACTCACCTTACAGTTTTACTTTGTACTTTTTGGTTTTGGAAAGACTAATGAAGAAGAAGAAAAGGGAAAAAAAGCTTGACAGGGATAAGGTGCAGTAAAATATTAATTTCGTTATCCACTGTACTTGGTGTTTAACTGCTGGTAGTAATCAAAAAAGGTACTAAGAGATAGCCAGCAGCAGAAAAAAATGGATAAGAGTAATTGGAATAAAAGCAATTATAGTGGGGGAGAATAGGAATCAGTATGAGAAAGATAAAAGATAAAGTGTATAATGGAGTCAAGAGGGTGAATTATGTATCTACTAAGGCTGGAAAGAGATGTTGGGATGTTAAATGAGATAAACGGAAGAGGTAGAAGGAGGGAGTGAGTGAGGGGGTTGTGCTCGATGTTACATTAGGTGGCTATGAACAGAGAACATGGCTAATTTAAATCCAATTACTGCCCGCCTGTTTTCCTGGTTCAAGGCCGACGTGCTCTAATTCTGCTGAATGAGGTGCTCAGACCCCAACAAATGCTAATCCAGACACACACACACACACACACACACACACACAAACACACACACACACACACACACACACACACACACACACACACAAACACACGTTCGCTTCATTTGATTTATTTACTATTAACAGGTAACTCCACACAAGACTCTGTGCTTCCCTATTCACCCCAGCACTCAGCGCTTCTTGCTCACCTCTTCGCTTGTTGCAATCAATTATGGCCCGAACAGTCATATTGAGACATCATTCCTGATTGTAATTGCTGCAATAAATTATGCTTAATTTTTCTATTACACAGAAATATAGCTTGATTAGAGCCGTGTCGATGTTTGTTGATTGTGGAGGCTCTGAAATTTAGAAGAGGGTGGGAGTTGGAACACAACGAGAGAAGCAGTCTTTCTAGTAATTATTCCTCTCCCCTTCTCACACTCCCTGTTCCTATTCCTCTGCACGGTGTGTGTGTGTGTGTGTGTGTGTGTGTGTTTGTGTTTCTGTTATTTCTGGCACAGGAGTCTTTTCTTTTTTTCTTTTTTGTTTTGCTCTCTGACTCCCTCATTCGCGACTGTGAAATGATCTATGAAGGCTATCATGGAAGGGAAACA